CCATTCAGCGGCTGCGTCCTGCAAGCCACAAGAACATATCACCTACCCCGGCTTCTGAGTGTAGGGCCCAGAGGGAGAATTCGTCGAGTAGCCATTCTTTTTGGGTAGCTCGAACAGCGCCACACACCCCATCATGCGAGGAGACAGTCTTGGCATGGTTGTTGTTAGAGTTAGGCTGAAGAGCGCTCTTGACGGGAGCTGACACGTTGTACGCGTAATAGGATGAGCGATGGGATGGATATAAAAGAGCCTTGGCCGGAATCTCCCCTATTGCTTGTGAAGATTCTTCCCTTTTCTCGAGTTTGTCCACTTGATGCAAGTGATCGCTTCCCCGCCCCCCACTCAGCACGTTGTTGTCCACCATGGTATCGCTTATCCTTTGGGTCTTCCTTCCCGCATCCTGGGACCTCGGCAATGTCCGAGCCATCCTAGCCTTGATCATCAACTTCCTCTGCGTCGTCGGCATCTGGGTCGTGGCGTACTCAACATGGAAGGTCGGGGCTATAAAGCTTTACCGCTCCCACAAATCATCCACCAAACTTCTTTCTCTCTACTCCCCAACCGGGCTGGGCGAGGTCCTTGAAATTATTCCGCTGCTTCGTGGAAGCCTTGGTATAAGGTTGCTTATGCATCTCTTGATTCCAGGCGCTATCATCGCCATCCTATCGACCGCCGCGATCATCTCTGCCCCTATCGCTCGGTACTCGACACGAGTTGGGATCCAGATAGAGCCGAAACTTGTTTCCGGGACGCTCGCAACACACTCCCACAGGAGTATCAACAACGCCCCGGTAAAGTGGAACAACACTATTGAGCGTTTTAACTTAGCGGGCCTACCCCTGAATCAGTTGATGGATTTCCTTCCCGACAACACCATCGATTGGAAGTACTCTGAGCCGGAGTGGAACAACTCGTGGTCGGCCTCCTGCCAGTGGTCAGAACGGACCCCCATCAAACTCTACGCGATGGGCAACGCCAGCTCGGGTAGAATATGGGACATGTTTCCAGGCATCAGCGCCGTCTTCCCAGGCGACATACTCGAAACCAAGTACGCAAGTGGGCTGGCTAACCCCGGCCCATATCGCGGCAACCTCTTCCTCGACAAGTTGCTCTTTATCTCGGTACAAACTCACCCTAATGTTTCGTTCAACGCAACACCTGGGTCCTCTACGAATTCTCGTCCCTTCCACTTCACTATTGCGGCCTTCCATCTCAAGAATACCCCTGCCAATTTTACCGACGATGGGTCCGTGACTTGGGGAACTGGCCCGGTTGAGCAGTCGTGGTATACCATGGCCAGCTGCGATCTCAAGAGGGTTGCGACGCGGACTCCCGATAAATTAGTAAGTTGATGGCTACGGATACCTCGGGGTTCTTGGCCTTCTAGTGAGCTAACTGCTACAAACAGGACAATTACGCACAACGGCATATTGCCTACCCATGGACGAAGGATTATGATTGGACTGTGAAAGCCTTCGGTGCCTACTACCACGCGTCATTGACAGAACAGTCATTCCGCAAGGAGCTAATCTACCATCCATCCGGCCAAGACCTGTTTCGGTTCTACCAGGCATATCTTGCGACGAAAGACGTACAAGACTACGAAATGGCCGAGAGGGTCATCAGCGTAGCCGTACCGACCGTTGAATTGTCAGTCCCCGTGCTTGCAGTACTTTTGATTTATCTGGTGATGATCGGACTGGCAGCCTTCTGGTTCGTCACTGTCAAAAGACTACCCACCGGAGCTTCCGTGCCGAGAACCAAGGTTGAGTGGATGGCGCAGGGGATGAGAGAGTCGCTGGGCAGGGAGGTCGACGCGAGTTATCTGTGCGCCAGCTGGGGTCAGGTCCAAGCAGGTCTAAGGGATGCGAAGATTGTGACCGTGAGGGATCCATTGCAGAGGTTGTACAATACGATCCAACCGGGGCAGCATGTTGAACAGCATAGGAGTATGGAAGGTTCCCTCAAGGCCTGAAGTAGCGGTAGTTCATCAAAGAAAGTTTAAATCCAGACTGTAGAATGGCTTTCCGCATCGAGTTAGCCCTCGGATGGAAAAGTGAAACGGCAGTTACGTAGCGAGGGAAAGCGACCGTTACGTATAGGGAGACTGTTATCCTAAAATTAGGCCGGGGATCGTTCTTACAACCACGCCGGCCTATTTATGGTTACGGCAAGTATAGCCGGGATTCACCTCGGCTCCGGCGGCCCTCAGTACGGCTCATCTCTTGCTCAGGATTTACGACTAACACGGACCTGGCTAGAAAAAAGTGTCGGGTGTGACTATAGAGGTACACAGAGTCAACGAAAAGTGTTTCTAAACAAGCACCGGTCATGGCCATCCCCTCGCCACACGCCTATGCCAGTGTCCCACGATGCCGCCGCGGCCAGACCCAAATATATGCGATTCATGAGCTTGTATCACCTTTGCAAGCTCACCCACATTCACCTGTATTTAATGCTGATGAAAGTTCCAGCCCTCGACTACCTCTTCGAGTCCTTGGCCAAGCAACCATCCTCCATCCATCCATCCCTCTTCTCCTTCACCCCTTTCTCAATCCACCGACGTCGAGTCCGCGACTCTGTCTTTTTCCCCTGCCGACCATCCCCCGAAAACCTAACCCCAACACTAACATAAAGCTCCCTACCATGTTGATCGTCTTCTTTGCGGCGCTGGACGTCTACGCCGCCCCTGCTGGTCCGGTCTCCGAGGTAACCCCCAGATCCCTGCATTCGTTCCGGTCCATTATCTAACAATCCTACGGACCAAGCAAGACTCCCTCGCCACTCATGACCCTCAAAACCGTCCTCCAACTCCGCCTCCCCCACGTGTGGTGCGGCACGGCCACCACCCCCTCCCCCTCCGCCCCGTGGAGGCGCCCCTTGTCCTCTCCCGCCACCGCCGCCTCGCGGCGGCGCAGCCCGACCATCGTCACCGCCTCCCCGTGCCCCAGTTCCGCGCCCACCACCCCTTCTGCCTCGGAGCGGAGTTACCGCCCGCCTGCCATCCCCACCAACGCGTCCCTTTTGCGTCCGCGCCGTCAGCTCCGACTAGGTGGATACCGGCGCTCCTGATCTCAACGTCGTCAATGCCGCCCTGGAGATCGACGCGCTAGATCCAAACGTCCTTTCCGTCGACAACGTCCTTGAGACACAATCTAACGGTCACACCTCGGGGTTTAACTCGGCGCTGAGTTCGGTGGATAACTCGCCGGCTGGTTCTCCCTCGCTGAGTGTTAGGGATGTTACGGACCTTCACTTGGATTTGGATGCTGTGGAGGATGGGTTTTGCTTCCTGATGATGGTGCTGTTACGGGGCGGTGGATGATGGTGGGTTGCACACGAGGGATGACGCTGAGATGCAGGTGGAGGACGGGGGGGGGGGTGATGTTGAGGATGTCTTTTCGAGGCGCTAGAAGGGGAAGCGGCCGAGGGTCAGTCTCCCACCGTGGTTGGAGGGCGAGGTTCGTTCATGACCGGAGGCTGTCGTGACGGGGGGAGAAAAAGGTTCGGTTATTTTTCCTTTGGATAGGGCATTTTGGATGTATTTCGGCGCTGGAAGTAGATGATGGAACGGATAAGAGAGGTGATGGACTGGATGGGGACTCAGCGAAAAGATCATGAGGAATAGAATGACACAATATTATTTTTAAAATTACATCTCAAATCGACAGATACGCCTATTCGCCGTTCCCACGTTTGCTTTCCGGCATCCAGCTCTTGCACTATCGGTATCAGGCCCCTCCCAATTGCCACGAGGACTATCTATACACACCCCCCTCATCCCGTCGTCTTGGTCCCATTCCCCTGCCCCGTCGGCGCCGCCGCACCACTCGTCGAATTCGGCCACCGCACACTACTCAACAGACTCATACTTAGACTCGACATGGTCGGCATCGACAACGACGCCGCGCTCGTAGCACCCGACAGTCCCGTCGCGACACCAGAGTTGTTTAACAGCCCCGAGGTGATGGGCCCCAGCACACCCGACGTGATGGGACCAAGGACGTCCGAGAGCAAGCCCCCGATGAGACCGCCGCCGCTGCCGCTGCTCTTGGGGGCGGTGGAGTTCTGGGCCTGGGTGGCGGCTGGGGCGCTCGAGTTGGCCGTGCTGCTGTTGCTGGGGAAGAAGGTGAAGGCTGCCGAGGCGTTCCAAGTGGGAAGAGGGATGGAGGAGGTGTTGGCGTAGGGGGCGGCTCGACGGAGGACTTTGATAAGGGTGGTGTGGCGAAGGATTTGGACAGTGTGGCCGCCTCGGGGCTGGAGTTGGTTGGGTGGTTGGTCGTGGGAGGCGAGACAGGTGAGCGCGAGGGCGGTGATGGCAAGGAAGAACTTCATCTTGGTAGATGGGCTGTTTCTAACCTCGGGGTGATGCCAAAGAAGCGACGAGTAAACGGCTTGATTGGGGAGGGAACTCGACAGACAGCGACGACGAGATCAGTCCGGAAGACTCGACTCACATCGATGCGCCCCAGTCCATGTCCTTTTTATCTTCCCTTGCCTTGGGTTATAACACGATATAGTCCAGCCATATCACACAAACCTGTTCTGAGGTGGACGTCCCGGTTTCTGATATTTTCCCACGCCTTCATCCTCGGCACGTCACACTTTGCAACTGTCAGATATTGACAGGCCTGCCGATTGCCGGATGCCGTCGCTTGTTCCTGCATCTCGGTCCATCATTGCCGGTTCGGGATGCCCGTCTCTAGCCTATTTTAACGACACGGGATGATAAGACTCTTGGACCCGGTATTTCCCAAGAGCCGTGCAATATCACAATGCGAATAGCCGGCATCATTGACGTCATGGACTCGAGGGTTTCGGGCAGTTATCTTTCCACCATCTATATGTTTCGGCTCTGTGGCTCGGATCTCAATAATTCCCCAAATATTGACTTTGTCGCTCTCGTAGGGGCTCAAGAACAGTTGGGAATGTTGTTGCACCGCCCGGGAGTGTTGCCGCTGTTCTCGTTCAGAGGCAATAAACGCATGCATTTATCAACAGGGCGTATGGTCTAGTGGTATGATTTCTGTTTTGCAGTGCTTTAGTGTCCTTGCTTCTACAGACGGTCCCGCGTTCAATCCGCGGTACGTCCATTGTTTTGCAAGTTGCACTGACTTACATGTCACCGAATTCTTTTTGGTGCCCTCGTCTCTGTAACGCTCGAAGCGATGCGCATCACTCGCACAGGCAACATTATGTCCAATAAGACCGCTCATCAGGTAACTAGGGCGTATGGTCTAGTGGTATGATTTCTGTTTTGCAATGCCCTGGAGCTCTTGCACATACAGACGGTCCCGCGTTCGATCCGCGGTACGTCCAAAGTTTTGCCAGTGCACCCCAATGTTCGACCCCTTTTTGCCTTTCTTCCCCCCTTTGGAAGTTCTCGATGCAGGGCTAGCGTTGGATCGAATATAACCCAGATCTCAGAGAAGAGCAAGGGGATGGATGCCTTGACAACACCAATCCAGGTGCAATGTGCTCACGATCAATGGTGGTGCGATACTTTATGTTGGACTGCTCCTCGGCCTTCAATTGGCCTTTGCCGCAACAGGGCACCCAAGAGTAGTATTCGCCTGCTCCATCAGCTCGCGTTGGGCCAGACGCCAGCACCAACATTTAGCAATATTCAAGACACAAGACAGTCACCTGCCACATTTGAGATTGGATTAGGCAGACTTGGAAACGTCAATAAAAAGCCCCTTGACTTGTTGTGACTGAACGTGCTCGTCCATATCTCGTCACCATCACCGACAGCAATTTGACAATACCAACCTCCATCCAAAATGAGACTCCCACTCACCATCACGGCCCTCGCCATCGCCGTCACCGCGGCACCGAGCTCCCTTTGAGCCCGCGACGGAACCAACTGGTCCCTCAAAAGCCTACAGTCTCGACATAGGCGTCTGCAAGAATGCATTCCGCTGGTTCAAGGGATCCAGCACACGTGGATGCACCACGCTGTCGATCCCAGCCTCCGCCGTCAGTATTGACACTGACGTAGACTGTGTCATCAACATCTATGCCGAGCCGGGCTGTCCGCGGGGCACAGGCAAGGCGTTTGGGCCGCGCTCGGCGGGATGTGTTACCGACACTGCGGTGCAGTCGTTTCGGGTGGACTGCGGTGTTGTGTAGATGTCTGGCGGGGAGATTTCATGTCTTGGGCATTCTGGATGGTCTTTTTTTCGTGCTGGTGATAGGAGGCAGTTTTTGGCAAGGCTTGGTTAGCACAAATATAAGCGTCCGTTTTCGATTTTAGCCCTTCATCACGTTGTCACCGTCACGGGTTGTGGCCCGAATTGACGCTGCCGTGGCTGCTACGAAAGACGCGGAATCTTGCACGCTTGACGGGCCCAAGCACGGTGGGCAGACAAAGCTACAGCCGTCGGCGTGCGCCGTCATCTGCGAAGGCCGGCGCTACTCTGGCGTCGAGAACGGGGACAGTGCTTTTGCGGCAACAGCCTCGACCACAGCCTCAGAAAGGACGAGGAGGACTGCTCCGCAACGTGCACCAGCGACAGCAACGAGCGATGTGGCGGCTTTTGGCGAGTCAGCGTCTAAGAGGATACGAACTGGCAAAGCACTGCCAGCGCTACTCCGATGTCAACCAGCTCCATAGCTCCGAGTGCTACTGCTATCGGTACCCCGACGCGATGTGATCAGAGGGGGAGGGATGGGAAGCGGGTTAGACGTTTGATGGCTGTGGTGTCCACGGCACCGCTGGTGAGAATCAGCTCACCATGCTGCGAAATGGTCAACTAATGCGTGAAGAGGGACAGGTTTGAGCTAGATGGCGTGGTTTGTTTTTGGTCCTCCTCGGGCAAACGACAGCGACGGTCCTAAGAAATGGTTTCGGTGCTAGCGCATTCGCTCTTCATTTTGAAGTTCTGCGTTGTAGTAGTTATGCCACTGATTCCTTGCTTCTTGATTGTAGCTGGGGTTCCCGGATTTGGTGGCTCTCCTTGGACTCATTCCGTTTCCACTTGCCCCTTTGCACACACTCCTCCCAAGCAATGTTCCTTCGGCCTCCAGGCTCGGTTCTTTGGCTCAAAAAATAAAGATCCTAACCATTGGCAACCCTTGCAACCATGGGAGATGAAACAGGCATGCCGGATAGGAGACAAAGAATATTGGGTACAATGAACGTGATCTAGGGGATACCTGGATTCTAGCTCAATAAGCACTCTCAAGGACGTTCCGCAGCGGATATCTAACTGAGCTCTTCACTTCATTATTCCATAGGCTTGGCTTCATTCTGGCCTTTTCCCCCACACAACCCTCTGTCTGTAGTACGCATGATGCGCGCCAGATTGCACCTCCCGTCTGAACTTGGCGAGATACACCATGATCTCTTCCCTTGACCAGCCCAGCGTGTTCGCCATGAAAAGCAGATAGCCTTCGGCATCTTGCTCCAGCGTGAGCTGAGTAAAAGCTCCTATCTCCCTCATCCGTTGGTCCTTGGACCAGCGCCCGATCGGTTGCTGTAATCGCCGTTAGCCACAGAGGCACCCCTGGCCAAAGGGCAGAGGATCTTTACCTTGATATCTCGCTTGTCAATATCCACAAACCCGGCAGTCTCCATGGCTTTCCGTTGGAGGTTGTCGTTGACCACGGTGAACGTGCGGCCGGACTGTCTTCCACCCGCGACGTAGAACTTGCCCCACTGTGCGAGGGCGGTGTTCTCCGTGACAGTGCCATCGTCGCTCTCCCACGTGGTAGACATCTCGTAGCTCTCGAGCCAGCCACCCGGTTTCAAGCACGCAAAGGCCCGCTTGAAGAGCAGATGCCAGTCGTCGATGCTTCCGACGAGCCAGCGCATGTGGATGTAGTCAAAGTGATTGCGGGGGAAGGTCCAGGACTGGGTGCAGTCCTCTAGCTCACTGGCGGGAGAGGGTAGAGTAGTCAGTGGGTGATCAAGAGAGCGTTTAGGGCAAGGTGGGCATGGGCGTACAATACGACGTTTGGCGGAACCCAGATGGACTGGATAGGGGAGATGTCGGTGCCGGTAACTTTGGCGTCGGGGAACTCGTCTGCAAAATCACTGGCTGCCACGTGAGCGGCATTCCTGGAAGCGTCTGGAACGGGGCGGCTTCGTACATGGCCCATATGCCTGATTTTGCATGTGATTAGCTTCTTGATCAAAACGGCACTCGGTTGGACGGTTGCCCGCACCTGTCCCAGTTCCTACGTCAAGGGCATTCTACACGCCGGGATATTAGCACCGCGGGTCCGTTCCGGCCAGGGAAGACGGTGATGAGAGACCTTGACCTTGGCCTTGTCGAGAGGGGCCAGGTAGAGCTTGTCGTCAATAGCAAGCGTCAGGGCGTGATGACTGCGCATGTTGTTAGCAGTCTTTCCTCCATACCCATAGGCTATGGCTGGACCGAGGCTGGCTTGCTTGATGTCCTGTGCCTCGTTTTGTTGGTCATCGTTGGACCCCCTATAGTTGGAGACATTTTTGTCAGCGATGCTGGTCAATCGCAGAAACAGAGGGTCCTCGCTACCAGTATTGCGCATTGCCTCTCTCGCTGTGGTATGTTCGGCCGTGGATGGTTCTGTATCGGAGAACAGACGAGGTTAGGGAGGCGGTAGAATCGGAATCATCCTCGCCAAGTCCCTCGTCGTCGGCGTCGTCAACCTGCACGATGCCTTGTTAGACGGTGGGGCTTTGAAAGGGGCTTACGACACACACAAGGGTTGCCCAGTAATGGGCTGGAAAGATTCCAGTGCTCTCGTTGCCAGCTTCTTGGGCGCGAGGGGACTGTTGCTCGGGTTGCTGCTCGGGCTTGTTGTCGGCCATCGTAGCTTGCGGTCGGGGGTGGGCATGAGGTGGAAGCTGCGTCGCCGAGAGAAATCGATGCATTACCGCCTCTCTAAGTACACATTCACGAGGTGGCCTGGCAGCGCGTAAAGGGCCGGCTGGCCCCGAGTCCGCATGCTGCAGCTGGCCGAATCAGGCCCTCGCCTCGCCTCTCGCCCCAGACGTGACTGGCGAACCCTATCTAGGTAGACGGCCCTGTCCAACGAACTGCATGCCAGAATAAGTATGACAAATGCCCCGCTCATTTCTGGGCTAAATGTAACATAGCTGCCAAAGCCTGTTGAAACGGGACGAATGGGGGTTGGTTGACCGGGGATGCAAGGCCATGGACCCGCGAAGCCATGGCCCCCTCCCTCCCTTTACTGTGTACTGCATAGTAGCTTCAGGCTACCGCTATTCTGTATCCGTATCTGGCGCACGGGCAATTGCCAGCGCGCAAGCTGCAACTCCGGAAGACGGACCCGTCTGATAAGCCTTGGTGCCATTCTGCTGCCCTACACCCCATGTTATATAGGTAGCCGTACGGGGCTTGCTTTTTTCTTCCGCCTTTCCACCACACACAACGCCACATCGGCACGGTGCCCAGTCCATCCACACCGCTCTTACCGCCTGTGAGACAGTTGCCAATGGACTCTCGTCCCAGTGCCTCGCCCGCCATGCGGCAGTCCGGACTTTTGGCCGGCTTGCTGCCACCGCCGTCGAACTGGCAAGCCGTTGGGCTTTACGCCGGTCTCGTTCCGCTATTCACGCTGTTGGGCTGGTGGGCTCTTTCGTATATCCGATCACCGTTGAAACGGTATCCGGGCCCCGTTCTCGCTGGTACGTGCTTGCTCCACGCCGTCCCGCCCGCCGTCCTTGATGTTGACGCTTCATGCAGGATGGACTAACCTTTGGCGCTTCTTCCTCGTGCGGACGGGCAACTATCACCGCCGCATCAAGGAACTCCACGATAAATACGGCCCGGTTGTGCGCATCGGCCCGAACCTCGTCGATCTCGACTGCCCGGAGCTGATCAAAACCATCTATGGCACAGACGAGGCATGGCGCAAGGTAGGTTGCCATCCTGTTCGGCATGGGCCATGTGCTTCTCTCTAATCTTCCAAGACCGAGTTCTACCACAACAACAGCATCATGGTCGGCCGCGAGATTGTGTACAACACTTTCAGCATGACCGATCCGGCCGGGCACGCCCGGATGCAAAAGCCCATCGCAAAGTACTTTTCCATCAGCGGCATCTTGGCTCTCGAGCCGCTGATGGACGAATCCATCAATGATCTGTGCAATCAGTTGGAGCGTCGCTTTGATGGCGGAGCCAAGACGTGCGATTTGGGCGAATGGATTGCGTATTGTTGGTGTCCCCCGTTTCTCGCACCAGTCCTCCGCAGCTCTCCTTTTGAAGCGCTAACCCCCAACTCCACGAGATAGGCACTTGGGACCTGATCACATCCATTACCTTTAGCCGACCCTACGGCTACATGTCGAAGGGGTTTGATTTCGATGG